ATGTCAGATGATTTCATTATAAGCCAAGAGGAGACTGGTTTTCCTTTGCTAAAGTAAGCAAACTTTGCTTCCTTTGCACCTGTAAACAAACTCGCGAGACTAGCATATCTCAGAGGCGCGCGTGCAACACATACGTACGTCCTACGTCATCCGCCGTAACGGCTCCCGCATACGACAGTCAGCAGAAGTGAGAGAAAAGTGTTTATTACATTTGAAATATGGATATTTTTCTTACAAAAACGCATGGATTCGCTACAGGAGGCCTTTATTCGCGTCCTGGAGCCGTGTGAGGCACTTTTTTATTATACATGCGTGTGCTTTATTTGACGTCTTTTGGACTGTTAAATAGAAACACCCACCCACTGCAATGATAGAGCTTAGAAGAGCCAGGATCATTTTTAATATAACTCCGACTGGATTCGTCTGAAAGAATAAAGTCATATACACCTAGGATGCCTCGAGGGTGAGCAAATCGCAAGATAATTTTCATTTTTGGGTGAACTAACCCTTTAAGAAAAGGATTGTTTTAAGAATCATTAATCAAAATGTATGATTTGTTTCCACCTCTGAAATTTTTTTTGGTTTAAGTAATCAATATGCTATTGCCTAATAATACACTAGCTCAGCATATTTCCGACCAAATAAAATCCAGATAAAATCAAGTTCTGTCCAAAACGTAATTACCTGCTAAAATAATTTGGTTTTAATTGGAAATGTCACATTATGAAAATTACACCAAAAGTTTAAAGTCAGTAAGATTTGTATTTATTTATTTACATGTAATTCTCTTAAGTGCACCAATGCTGCATTTATTATAACTGTTATCTACTGTATTTTAATAACAAAACAGTTGTGCTCCTTAATATTTTTGTGGAAATCATGATACATTTTTATGGATTTTAATTTATTTTATAGCATTTGTTTGAAATATAAATTTTGTGTAACATTATAAAGGTCTTTACTGTCACTTTTTAACAATTTAATGCACTTTTGCTGAATAAAAGTATTAATTTCATTTAAAAAAACATCATACTGACCCAAAACGTTTAAATGGTAGTGTAAATGCTAATCTAAATGTTATCTAAGCAATCAAATTAAAAGGTAGTGTAAATGCTAGTGTAAATATTATCTAAGCAATCAAATAGGCGTAAAATCATCTTATTCCTAACATACACATTTGCTTAACTATAAGCTCACACAGCACTGCAGGCATGAGAGTAATGGAACTGATTTTCCCCGTTTCTTCAGAGGTCAGAGGTCACTCTCAGGGTGAGTGGGGTCAGTGTGTGCAGTGGGATAGATTACTAAGGCTCTCTACATTCAAACTATCACTGATTCTACTTGCTGCTCTCCAATAGCACAGGACTCTCTCAAATGCATTAATCCAAAACCTGCCGTGGTGAGACAGGATTTAAGTGTATTAGATGTTACTCATTTCTCTTTATTACTCTTTAGGACCAAGAAAAATCACTCAGAATGTGCAAGACCAGTACAAAATGCAATTGCTTTGTAGAAGGGAATGTAAAGGATAGGTTCAGTTTATAGAGATTCTTGTGCCTTAAATGTTGTGCTGTACATGTAAGTATGTCACTGTGTTTTGGAACAGAGCTAACATGATCTATAGTGCTTTGTTTCAGAAGAATGACCATAATATGTACTCTAGAATTTTTAAACATTCTTTGAAGGACAGTTTTCCCCAGCGAAGTTCCCAATTCTCCTCTGACCTGCTCCAGTTTTCCTGCAGCGCTGGGATACGGTCCGTCCAGCCCGTTATCAAGTGAAGGCTGCTGTGTCAGAGCTCCTCCTGAGTCCCTGAACATGGCCTCCTTCTCCAAAAAACTGTCCCTCCTAGAGATGGGTAAAGCCATAGTAGCTCTGAAGAAAGAATAAAAAAAAAGAAAGAACTCAGTCAATATCAACAAAATCCATCTTTGTACTGCCATAGTGGCACACAAGCTGCATCTAAAGTAGCATTTGGGTGTATTTACACACCTAATGTTTAATGCAGCTCAGAGGTGGCATGAATGAATTTATGTTGTAATTACAATGACCTAAATAATGCTGCAAGAATGCTTTAAAATGTTGAATATAGAAATATTAAATGATTAAAAACTTTAAATATGAAAACAAAACCACATCATTGAATCATTTATTTAAATGATTTGTTCAAAATCGCCAATTCATTCAGTGACAAAACACCACTGTGTGTTTCACAAAGCTTACTGACATTTTATTTATTGCACTTTTGTATTAAAAAAAAATTGCACTGTGCTGATATTTGGGGAAAGAGGGGGAAATTTTTTTTTTTTAACAACCTATAATTATAACATGTTATAAATGTACACAGTTTAAAAAAAATCTAAACATCCTTAAGGTACTAGAAGCAAAATTGCAG